ATTTTCACATTTTAAAAAATACTAAAATTATTTGTTTTATAAAAATATTTAAATTATTATTATCTATTACCATTTATTAATAATATAAAACTAAATAAAATGTATACATACTTTCTTTTAGTGGAGGCGCTTGTATACCAGGTTCACACAAATTACAAGTTTCCATGCCATCATGAATATGACACAATAACTTTGTGTCACCTACAGTAAGTTCACTGCCATGAACTAAATGACAAGGTTCACTCGAAGATGAATGCTTTGTAAGTTTTTTACCATCCAAAAATGTGCCATTTGTACTACCTTTGTCTTTAATAATATAATGACCTCTACCAACTTTGTTAACATTACCAATAAATGATATTTCAGCATGTAACTAAAAAAGAAAAAAAAATCTCAACATATTAATTATTATAAAATTAAATTTTTAATCCCAATATTATTACTATTATATATTTAGTGAAAACAATATTATGACTATTAACCTTGCTAACATTATCATCAGGTATTATTACATCTCTATTTGTCGAACGGCCTATTGTTCCACCAGGACATGTAATTAAAAATAGCTTACCAACCAATGAATAACATGCTTTGGATTCTGTTATTATGATACGTATACATGGAGGCCATCCAACAATTTCTATAATCATACAAAAAAAACATTTTAAATTAATATAGGCTAAAAATATTTTCCATCACAAAAATAGTTAAATTTAGAACTAAAGCATTTACTTGATTTAATCAATTTAGTTTGTGTATCGGAAAGGTGAGCTTTAACTTCTTTGTATGATTTCCAATTTGAATTTTTGTCATCTCTCTTATTTTGACATAGGTATTGTTCTAATCGATCCCAAATTAGATTATCATACTGAATAATTTCTGATTCAATTGCAGTTAGTTGATGCTTGATTGTATACCAATTTCTTATTTGTGCATATTGTTTTGCTTTACTCTGCAAATTATGTAAGTTAGTTGTTGTGCCAATTTTTCAAATGGCTTACTAGTATGGTTTACCCCATCAAGTGTTAATTTGTGAACTATATTCTTAGGCGCTGGCAATAACTTTGTATATTGCAATAAATTCAAATAACGCTTGTCTAAAATCTAAAATATAATAAAAAAACATAACTTTAAAATAATTTCTGACATAAATAAATAATTACTTCACAAGTAGAAGGCGGACAAGGACAATCTTCAGGTTTAACTTCTTCTTTTTCATCTTTAGTAGTTTTGTTTTCAATATTTAATTCTTCTTTTACTTCTTGACATTCATTAGGTTTCTTTTCAATAGTTTTTATAATGGTATCTTTAATTTCTTTTTCATTTGCTTCAGTATCTTCTCCTGTGTCTTCTTTAATAACTAAATTACTACTATCGTCAGAATTCTCTGAATCACTGGCTTCACTAATACTTCCAGGTATGTCTTGACTATGTTTTTTTTTCTGTATATTGAGCGCATTAGAAGGTGAATGAACTTGGGAATATAATCTATATTTCTGTGCAATTACATCAAAGTAATAATAACACCCTTGATTTCCATCATAAAATAATCCATTATTCTATAATTAAAAATATTTGTGTAAGGATCAAATATTGTATTCGTATGTTTTTTTTTTTTTAAATCTATTATTATACAAGTTCTTGATTTATTTCAAGTACATAGAACAAAGTATCTCAATTAGATATTCAATGTGTACATGAATGAAGCAATTCATCTCATAATCATTAATAGATCACTTTACTCAAAACTCTTTTGCACTTTTATATAAGTAATAAAATTAAAAGCACATGCAAATAATTATCTGTTAGATTTTATTGAAGTCAGTAATTAGGTATTATCTTTAATAGAGATCCAAAATACAATTTTAGATTGATATTCATAAAAAATTACAACAAATATCTCAACAAAAACATTACAAGACAATTCAGTTTGTTATTTAAAGAGATGTTGTCATATTCTCTTAAAATTTAATAACTTCTGTTAATAAGGTTCTATCATTAAATGACCTTTCTTCCATTCTGTAATTTTTAATTAAATGTATCTTATATGTATTATCATTACTATATATTAATATTTAAACTTCCATCAAATTTGCTTATTTTGCTTCGACATTGATTCTAAGTTTTCAGTTAAAATAAATAAAATAAACTGATTTTTAACTAAATTGAGTTATTTTTATTGTGTCTAATTTAAAAATTTTAACTAAACTGACTTGATTAAAAAAAAAAAATTTAATTAACTGTAAATTATTATTTCACTGTTAGATCAAGTTTAATCCCAATGATCTTATAAGTTTATAGGGGATAACTATCATTATTAAGCGCAATGTGTTTGTCTAGGTTAGAGAAATGTTACTAATATTTTGTGCTTTATGCAAATAGAAAATAGCTCTATGATTAATAACTATATGATCTAAATCATCAATATTTTATAGTTATTAATAGTATTTTTAATAAACATAAAACATTGGTACTTAGTAAAATAAATTAAACTTACTAAATTATAATAATAGCCAGTCACTTGATCATAATACATTCCAGTTGTTTCTTCTAGTATAAAACGGCTTTCTCCCAAACTATACTGATTGACTTGTTTGGGATCTTTAGATTTTTCTTCATCTTCGCTACATTCACCTTCTTCTTTATTTTCACTTTCTGTTTTTACTGGGTCATCAACTTCTCCATTTTTAGATTTTTTAACATTTTCTAAATTTTCAATCTATAATAATAAAATAATTAATCTAGTTTTCTATAATAACATTTAATCTAAGGTAATAATTTTTTTTTTAAATATATTAACTACCTTAATTCATCTACTTATAAGAATAAAAATTAAAAGTATCTTTTCATATAAGTATAATTTGAAGAGAAATTAAAAGAATCAAAAATAATTATTATGGGTTTACATTTTTAAATAATATAGATAGGTATATAATATGGAATAAAAACAAATTTTAGTTCCAAAATAAATGTTAAAATAAGATATTTTTATGCAATTAAATTTTTTCAAGAAAATACTCTTATATTCCTTTTATCCAATAAATGCTTCTACAAAAATTATGTATTCAGTTTTTAACATCATTATTTAAGACTTGTTGCATTAAGTGATTAATTTTACACAATAATAAATTACTAATTAGTATGTAGGTATTATTTGTATGTTTCAATAAAATAAATTAAGCTTTTTCAATAAGTAAAAATACATTAGCTACTATAATAAATACTTATATTACTCTATTACAGTAGAACTCTGATTATCCGAACACCAATCATCCGGACGTCCAATAAACCAGACGAGAAAAAAAACATCACATGCCGTTATTTATATACGTGTCTCATAATTGTTTAAAATATGTCACATATCATAATTAAGGCTTATTTTGTTTCAGTTAAATATATAATAAAATTATTTATTTATGGTTACGAATTTTAAATTATATTACATATATATTAATAATAAATACAATAAATACATATAATTATATAACTTTTGATATATTAGACGTTAATCATCCGAATATTTGCTTGTCCGGATCACCCTTGACATTAATTAGTCCGGATAATCGAAATTCTACTGTACTTATATTTTATAGTGAAATAAAACATCAATATTCGTAATAGGCACTGCAGACTAGAGTGATGCACGAACACATAAAAAACGCTAAGTTAATAACTTCCAAAGACCATAACTTCAATCGACGAATTCTGATTGCACCATTGTTCTTAAATTAGTTCCAAAAGAAAAATCGAAAAATTTACATGGGGTGGTAAAGTGTATTTGTTCCATAAATTATATAATAACCACCATTCAATATGTCTCGCTAGATAGTCGCGATAACTGATAAGTATCATAAATTTAGTGGTAGTGTAAAACAAAATCATCCAACAATGAGTGAGTATAAATGATTCACCAGATTAAAATTCTACCAAGACAAATTGTATGTTACAATACAAACACTTTTATACTTCTCTAAAAATAAACATTTATACATAATGTATAAAGTGCTATTAGAAATTACTAAAATATTCTTACATTTTACAACACATTAATATTTATAGATTTTCTATTTTATCCTTAACATGTACAATTGTTCAAACCAATATTTTATTTTATTTATGTACATAATAGTTCTATATTTATAACATTCATTTTCTTAAATATTAAATAATTGTACTCACATTATCTACAATACCATCAGCATTTTCATTAGATTGATTTTTAACTTCTAACTTATCTTTTTTTGTGGTTTTAACTATTTCGATATTTTGGTCAATGCTTTCAGTTTTAATGTTTGATTTCTGTTTGAAAAAATTAAGAATTATATAAGTATATTAAATATTTCTATTTAGTTTTATATAGTGTATGATATACAACATTAATTCAATATTACCTTAAAGTCGATAGAACTGTTGTTCTTTATGTTTTTTAAGGTAGCTAGCAAATTTTGTTGCCGTTCTAACATTCGCACGGCATTTTTTAAATACTCATAAACTTCTGGATATTTATGTTCAAGAAGATCCTTAAACGGAACTTCTACATCGTCCATCGCAATTTGGGCGGTACCTAGTATGTCGATATGTGGATCAGGATGATGATGCACTCTTACAATTCACATATTAAGCCGATCAATTAGCAACGGCAATATTCGGATGAGTTTGATGTGAATGAATAATAAAATGGTTTTGCAAAATGCCGTTTAAAAAAAAAACGTGTGTCTAGTGTTTACCGTACTTGATAAAAAAATTTACAGTTTTCACTTGAATTTACAATCTTTACACGATCAAGTAACAAAATTGAAGTCAGGGGCCATATGTCAACAGGGCAATGTTTACAAAATAACTCAATAGATAAGATAACTAATATTGATAATAATCCAAAACAAATAAGTAATAACGAATTTATTTTCAGTTTCGTTTAAATTTTAAATCGTTTATTAATAAATTTAAAAGTGAAAATCGAAATATATTATAATAACTATAATATTATAGTTAATATTAAGATGCAAGTTTCTTGTTCCGCTCACGGCTGTACAAATCGAAGGCAACGTGAAAGCAATATTCATTTTTTTTCGTAAGTAGTATCTACAAAATATTTTTTTTAACTATATAGTAGCCAGTAGAGTGTTTAACATGTACAATGTACAAAGTAGGTACAGTGTACACTATATAGGTAGTATTTAATAATTGTAATTTGATAAAGAATTTTCTAATTTAACTATATTAATCTAATTATTTATTATTGTATGAAATATGCATATACATTTTAGTTTTATTTTAAAAAATGCCGAGAGAAACCAATTATGGATAAATGCTGCTGTGCGTAAAGGATTTATTCCAACAAAAAATAGTGCAATTTGCAGCGCATATCTTATAGCATCTGATTCAAAATCAATCTAGGAGGTAGTTACCATTTGTTTTTAAATGATACTGCTATTCTATCTGTTTTCTCTAATTCATTACCATCTAAAAATATATCTCAAAATGAAGCAAGGATTGAACAGCATTCACTTATTAGAGAGATAGTTGGTGCTAATAATTTATTATTGAATACTCCATCTAAAGTAACAGCAAAAAGGCCTTTATTTTCTCCAAAAACAAAAAGGAAACAAGAACATGAACCTCTGACACCAAGAAAAATTGAATTAAAAATAATAAATAAAATTGTTGCAACAAGAAGTAAGGCGAAGGGATAAAAAAATAAAAAACTTGAAAAGTTTATTAGAAAATATGCGTTCTAAAGGTTTGATCGAAGAACAATGTGAACAATTATTAATTGATCAATTTGAAGGTACATCAAAAGAAATTTTTTGCAACGAACTCATAAACAAAGGTAAAAGACCAATAAGATGTAGATACTCTAAAGAGCTTATGTCTATGAATAAATCATTCAATATTTATCAGAATATCATGAAAATATATAAATTAGCCTAAATTATTTGTTTGATTTCAAAAAAACTTCAACGGTTATTGTGTTTATTGAGATTTTCTTTAAACATTGAAAATTATTTTATCGTATTTTACATAGTATTTGTGTAGGTAGTATTCAATAAACAGTTGTAATAAATAGTTTCAATACTTTTGTTTTTATTCTGGTCTATTTAACGTTGAAATCAAGTAATTGTCAATGCCTTCTAAGTGAATTAATTTAAATATGTTCTATTTGTTCATATAATGAATAAGTTTTTTTTTAAATTTTTGTAAAATTCTGGTATCTAGTACTGAAGTGTACAATTCATTTTTGCCGCCTACCGTTATCATCTATAATTCTATTTCAGTTTAAAAAATTATTCTTCTATTGTTTATTCCTTATTAACATATAATTTTCTTTTGTTTTAGAAGAAGCTTCAAATGCATGTGATGTTTTCACATTTTAAACATAAGATGTATCCATAATTTCTTCAAGTGACTTGGTTTTGTTGTGTTAAAATTAATATTGAAACAAAATTAGTAAGATGAGCTATGACTAAAGTTAAAAGTAATTTTGTTATATAATCTTTCTTTTGTTGTTTATAATATTTTCATTTCTTTATAAAATACCTATGATATCGTTCAAAACTTCTATTTTTTAATAGTCATAAAGTGTTTAAAAATTTTAAATTTTTTGAAAAATCTGTTGACAGATAACAGATCACGTTATTACTGTTAAGATTAATATAATGCAATTTATTGTTATGTTAAGATTAATATCAAAAAATGGATTCTACTGAAAGCGAATTAAATATCCTATACTTCTGTGAGCTCAATATGATTCGCATTAAACTTTATCTGTGTACCTGTTCTTGTTCACAAAAATCTTTATTTTAAGATCTATAAATTGTGTCGATAAAAAAATAGAGATGTTCATTGATCAGCACAGGAAATAACTTAGTGTCAAAAAAACAAAATTGTTGTTAATTTACATTTTGAGTATTCTTTCATCAAACTACTTTTGTATATTGTTATAATTTTTTTCTTTTTTAGAATTGTTGACTTTATACTTTGGAATGTCTGTTTATACAATTTTGGTGACACTGCTATAACCTAAATTTATGTTTAGTTGGCAATTGGATAATATATGTGAAGTAAACTACACATTATATTAATTTGAAATTAGTTTTATAAGTATTAAGCTATTTTTTTTACAATAAAGTTATTATAACTGTAAAAATTTTGCGTTAGATTACTTAAAGAACTCTCAATATTTATTAGATGATATTGAAACCAAAACTAAAATAATCTAAAATATCTAAAATTACCACATAACTTACAATTATTTTAATACCTCATTACTTCAATCTAATATAATTTTGGTATGAATATAAAGAGAAAATTAATTTTTATTTAATAATTATAATAGAAAGTCTGTCTGAATCAAATAATAAAACTATTTATACAATAATAATTATAACCAATGCATACTCTGACGTCATATTTTAAAAAATAAGCACTAAGTTCATTCTTCTATGTAGTACTCGAAGGGGTACGTTAGATTAAACAACAATGGCTATTAATTGGGCTGTTACTTTTTCGGTGTTAGTCCCAATCATTTGATCTACTGAATCAGAATCATGCATTTTTAATAACAATATTAAATAGGTACATAACGATAACTATACAATTATAGACAGGATTTTCTTTTTAAAGTTCTTCAATTATCAATTATCAATCTTAAGCATTCATAATTTTAATATTATTTTACTTTTTTGAAAGCTCTTAGTTATACAATTTTTGTTTTTTAATTAAATTTTAATTAAAAAAAATAGTATATCAAAATAATTTATTTTTTATTTAAATAGGTTTATCCATTTTTAAACATGATATTAAAATACATTTTTAATAAAAGTATGAAAATATACGACTAATATATAATAATGTAATTTTTTTAAATTAATTTTCAGTTAATCAAGAAATTTTTTGTATACTAACTATTGAGATAAAAAGCAAACTAAAAATTTATCTTAATAATATAAAAATATGGCATGTATATTTTTTTGTAAAAAATAAGAAATAAGGTCTAAGAATAAAAATATAATCATAGGTTCTGAATTCTGTGTGAATTGAGTGATTGATGGCACAATCAGATTTCTAGTCATTGAGCAGTTGAATTAGTCAATGTGAAGTTGATGGCGGACTTAACAGTCTGGGCGGCATTAGGTTCATATGCGGTAATGATATCAGTGATGCTACTTGCAGTGCCAAAGATTAGGGCCATTATACCAATGGCAATCAGCACTGCATTTCGAACAGTCATCCAAATGGTGATGTTGTCCCAGTATGTAGCAAACTCTATAACCACAGGCATAACAATGCCGAGTAGCGAGAAACAGAAGGCACCAATAAGCCCAATGAATGGACCAATTGTTGGTACAGCCACCGCAATCACCACTGTGAAACCACAATTATGCAGACATTATTATTAGTATTACTAAAATAATGAGTATAAAATATTATAAACTTAAAATATAATTAGTGGGAGTAACCCAGATAATATCTAAACCTATTTAAGAGAACATCTGTAAGTTTTATCTATATCTGTATAACAGAAATATTTGTTCAGCAAAAACAATTTTATGTTACAATCTAATATTAGCATTATTAGGATAAATTGTAATAAAAAATTTAATGGTAAGAATATCATTTTATTTTAAGTAAATTAAGAACATTTTAAAATTGTAATAATTTATATTTTTTAAAATTATAACCCACTTAAAAAATATAACATTATATCTAACAAACTGATAAAAATAATATGCTTATTTCTAAATTTGATAATAAAAGATAAATTTACAATAATAATAGCTAACTAAATATAAAACATAAATTGTTTATATTTTACAGACTTCTTGATTAGGCTTTTTAATTTGAATATTGTTTTTCCACCTCTCTCAATAAAATATAAAAGATTTTATGTTTATAAATTATAGCCATTAATATTAAACTCAATGCAAATATGGAATAAATTGTAAAATTTATTTATTAAAAAAAAACTTATTAAATTTTATAAAACTTGACAAATTAAAGATGGTTCTTATAGTTGATATTAACTAGTTAAAAAAAAATGTGACAGCTACAATTAACATTTATGATAGAGTGTTACATACCAGATATGGTCACCAGAATCGTTCTCAATATGTAATTGTGGTAAATTGTGGTATTTTCAAAGTTTTCTTGAATTTTAGTCCAAATGATTTCCAAGCAAACAAAAAACTGTAGGCCATATGTGCAGAACACGGCTAAACTGATGCATATTTTAGCTACTTGAGCAGCACTATAAAGACACAAAAACATTAAAATGTTGAAGTTACTATTGGTTTGTCACATATTATATAAAATAACTAATAGTTAAGTGGTGCAGCACATTGATCTACAAACTGTAGAGTTTTAACAAACTATTGAATCATCAAATATATATGCATATAAAAATTATGTTTTTTTAGTGTATTAGCTATTTGCCTATTTAGGGATAACATTAATATTTTTTCTTACAGAATTTTTTCATCAAATTTGTGCACAAACAATTCAAGAGGGGGGTTTACATTCTGTTTCAATACTCTCATCATTTTGTTTCAAGGATAACTATAAGCTTTTGTATACAAACTTTTGGATTTGTCTACATTTAAAATTTTTTTAAGTTGAAGAGGTATTGGAATGGACATACAAAATTGTCATTAAAAATCTGATTGAATTAAAGTACACAGAAAAAATACAAGATATAGGTATAATTATAGAGCAAGGTGCTTCGTGTTATACTCACAAATCTTCGTTTGGTAGGTTTAATGTTATACTTGATTCTGTTGCTTCACCGTATTTCAAGTATCCGAAGAAACCAAGCAGAATGTACACAACAGTCACGCCACCCATGCCGACGTTTAACACGCCAAAAACTCCTAAAAATTTTTTAGGTGTTTTCATGTTGTTCTCTAACGGCATTACCTACAAAAATAATCCATGATAAATGAACAATAAAAAAAGAGAGAGAATCTCTTAAGGTAGTTAGTATAATGTAAATACGATTTTGTCGATTCAAATATGCAAAAATAAAACTTAAACCTTCAATGCAGTGAATTATGTGCCCTAACTTATTAACTTATGCCAATATATTAGATCAGGGGTTCTCAACCTTTTATTTTTTTCCGTACTCCTAAGTTTAATATTTTGCTAGATTGTACCCTTATTATAATTTTTAAATTTTTTCACATAACTACTTTTAAAATATTTAAATAAAAAATAACAAAAAACCCTATGTTATATTCTATACTCCATATTTATTAGATAAGTTGATAGTTTAGTTTTAATTTGTGACACAAATTTTCATTTTTAATAACAAATTATGAATATTTTCAAATGAATTATTTTAAGTAAACAAATTCAACGTTTTCCGTCATTAGCCAACTTTTTTCACGTACCCCTTAAGATCATGTCGCATACCCTAGGTTGAGAACCGCTGTATTAGATTATTGTAGTAGTATATTTATGATACTATTAGAAAGATGATTTATTTATGACATTATGAAAATATATATTTAATTTCATATTTTTTCAAAGTTTAAATGATCGAAATAAAGAAACCTGCCACCCACTAGATACCTTATTAACAAAATGATTTCATATAAATAATGCTCATAAATAATATAATACCTACGATGATGGGTTTCATTAATTCAAATAATAAAATTAAAAATATGGATCATTAATTTTTTTTTTTTTTAATGTTAAAAAACAAGAAACAGTAGACAAAAACTACTTTAAATTGTAAAGAAAATAAATAGTTATTTTATACAATATAATTGTATAGCATTTTTTGACAATTTTATAACATACCACTCCAATAGCTTCCATGGCGAACACAGTGATGCAAAAGAATGTAGGGAATGTTTCCAAGGATCCCACAGGTGACCTTTTCGAAATGCTGGGTACATCACACAGCGTATAGTAGAATGTGATGCTCAGACCGATAGCCATCAACTGGTTGGCAACCTTAGACACAGGTGCCAAATACTTGAGATTGGGTACGTAACTGAGCAGTATGAGTGGTATGAGAAGTATCGCAATAAAATACCGGAGGTTCAGCTCATAACCCATGTGGTACATGTACAGCTGGTGAAAGTTAGAGGCTATGATCACTGTGTACACGCTGCACGTTCCAAAATATGTGACAAACAGTAGCCAGAGGATAGACTTTCGGGTTAGTGATGAGAACTTTCGAGACCATTCAGGTCCGTTAGCAAACGCTACTTCAGCCACGTCAGCGTAACTCATGGACGAAACTTTTGTTCGCCAGTAGAGCGTGTGAGCGCATTTCACCTTTAAAAATATGAAAGTTTAACATGTATAATATGATTAAAATGTATGAAAGCACTGAAAAAATCTAAGAACAATATTTTAAATCTACTGTATAGAAAAAAAAAAGCTTTTTAAAATCAATAAATATAAACATAGATATATAAGTATATTTTTTAAAAGTGAGTGTGTGTACTCAATAACGCCAAAAATAAATATTTTTAGGTAAAACTTAAGTCTTTTATTAGAGTTTAATATATGTGTTTAATAAACATATGTCATAAATAACGATAAAAAGTATATATTTACTGACAAGTTTTTATTTAACTATGATTTATAGATTTTTAAGTATTTTAAATAAAATAACTAGCAATATATATATTTTTTTTCTAAAAGATTTTTTATAAATTGCAACAGTTATATGTATCCAAACGATATTTTAAATAATCTTGATAAGTGTATAATGTAAGTATATAATATTTAAGACATGTAACTACTAACCAGTAAATATGAGCAATATGTGCACACAAACGACACAAACACTGTTGCGAATATACCAATTATAAGTCCAGAACATTGGAAAGCTAGTGGCATAGCCAGGATGCCGGTTCCTAAAGAAGCTTTGAGCAAATGAGTCAGGGTCTCACCGTTGCTGTAAAAATTGAAATAATTAATACCTATGTGTTAATGTTTAATTTTTTATACAGGTACAGATAAAGACATCTTAAAATAAACACATATTGTATAATTTGTGTATTATATTATTATGTATATAATTTAAAGATTGCAAAAATCAGAATAGTGCTGATGAAAAAAAAAAATGAGAACATTTTCAGTAGTAAAGAGCAGTTTATTTTACTTTATAAAGTATTATCATTTTTTTGCGTAAAAATGATAGTTATCCAATAGTAAAAAAAATATTTGATCACTTTAATACAAATTTGTATTCATTTGTGTCAGTTATGAGTGTGTCAGAATGTTTTATTTCGTACACTATTACTAATACATTTTCAACGGTGATATTGAATTGAGTCCGATAGATAAAATGTCATGACTACCTATATAGCCGATAACTCACAATTAGTTAATACTTACTTAATTATCAAATTATTACGAGTGAAAAATGGAATGTATGTTTAAATATTTACCCATAAGATACTTATTTCTCCTCAAACAATTTTTAATATTTTGTTGTATTTCCAAATATAATAAGATAAGTATGTACTTGAAATTTCCAAATTATTATTTTAAATACCTACATTATAATAAAATTTCCAACAAATTTCAACTCTTTTAGAAATATTTGTAAGTATGACAAATTTTCAATTTTTTTTTTAGTAATTTTCTATAACTGTTGATTAAAAAATATTCTTTAGTTAAAAATTACATTTATTTATTATTATTTTTAATATTTTTAAATTAATTGACTCTTTATTTTTATTATTACAATTAAAGAAAGGGACTCAACTCGAATAACTTAACAACATTGGCCGGACTCAACTTCGATAACCCAAAAATATTTGCGGGACTCAATTCAACGTCAGCCATTTTCAAATATTAGCTAAAACATTGGAAAACTAATATTTCTTAAAAGTAATGTGATGTTCTCAGAATAATAATAATATACTTTTTTCATATATGTGTAACATATTATATACATGTTCATATTTTTAGTTTTAATGTCATTAAAAATAAAGCAATGCCTGACATCATAGTTAACTATATTATAAGTTTTTAATATACATTTAATCATATAATCATATGTTGTTAATTGTTACTTATTAGTTTTTAAGTACCTATACTATACTTTTAATCATAGTAAAATTATCATTTGATGAAATGTATCTTGTACCTAGAAGTTAAATTTATGTATCTAATATTTTATTTTTAGATAATTTTTTTCAAGTATCTTATCTGATCCTGCCTTTATGACATTACCTATATTATAGTTATTTAATTTAATCTAATAGTTACAAATATTGATTAAATCAATAGTACCTATAACTATCAATAATAATAATAATGCTTGTTATTTATTAAATTAAATAAGCTTATTATATTTGTTGACATATGGTATACACTATACAGGTAGGTAAGTACTACACTCACGTGGTTGGGTGTTCTAAGTTTCTCTCAAGGAATGGATCATAGTCAATATTACCATTGAGGTGTGCAACTTCGCCCTTCTCAAACATTTTGTTAGGTTTTTGTCTGAAAGAAATAAGTATAACAAGTGAAAATAAAAATAAAAAATTAGAAAATATGACTTACAATTCTTTGGTAGGATAGCAAAATCATATTTTGTGGTAAAATATGTTTCAATAAATGATGAATAAAAATATGAATACCTTATTATCTCTTATAAGAGCTAACCAAGATGACATGTACTGAATTTGACAAGCATTTATTTTTTTTTTGTTAAGTTAAAAATTTAAAACATTAAATCATAAATTTAAAAACATTTTAATTTTTGAAATTAATAAAATTCAAAAATCAAAATTTTAAATTTATTTTTACTTTTAAACAGTTAAAATCAAAACGCCTCACATAAATCATCTTTGGTTAATATATTTTGTCTTTGTCACATCTAATTATTTACCAACTATTGAATTATGTTATTTGCAGCTATATATATAAATATATATAAGTTAACATCTACCAATTTAGCTATGTATACACATTACACACACAATTTGAAAAAAATAAACTTGTAAATAAAAAAAAATCATTTATAACACTCACATATTTTGCGATAATTCATTTTTCTTGGAATTTTCATCTGAAAGGAACGACTGGAGTTCTAGTTCAACACTTTGTGAAGTCTAAAAAAAACAAGTAACGACCACGACACTTATTTATTTTTCAAGAAGGTATAAATTAATAACATTTTTGTTCCAGATATTTTAAATTTCAAATGCCTAGTTTAAATTTAATCCAAATACCTTAACATTTTTTTGGACATAGAAAATTATAATTCAAGTAATACTAGTGAAATGTTTTAAAAATTTGTGATGAAAATGTTTTGAATTATAATAAAATAAAAAATAAATTATTATTATACATTTAAATATTCAGTGTTGTCAATATTTTAACTTCAATCAATCAAAAAAATTATCATGGATAAGGAATAAGCTTTATTACTGAAAATTAAAAAAAAAAATTACTTAAATCCATGATAATTTTTTTGATTGATTGAAGTTAAAATGTTAAGATTCCTTATCTTAAGTTAAAATTTTTAAACTTTAGGTGTTAAATTTTGTAAACAATTTGAACGATTATAAAGAAATTTTGATATTTTTTAATTGGATTATAAATAACTTATGAAAGCCTTATATAAAATGTTCAAACTTTTTTAACTAAATATACCATATATAAAATAAAAATACTTGATAATTTCAAAAATTACTAATAGCACAAAAAGGTAAAATATTTCAAAGTTTTGGTAAATATTAATTTTAAAAGTCCATAGAAATGTTAAGTTTCATCAGCTATTCAATTTTTAATAATAACAAAAACAAAGTAAATTTAATCAAAAACTGGTATAGTTTAAAAATTATATTTCACATAATTTTTTATTTTTGTATTTTCTAATTACTTTTAAAAGTATCAATTAGATCTAATTTGCTACTAGTAATCACACCCATAGTTGAAAATTAAATTATTTTTACTGTTCCAAAAAGTATGTTTATGAATGGACAAAAAAGAATTAAATTAAACTAAAATAATAATTTTTAAGATAATTAAACTTGTTAATATGTGTGTTTTTTTTTTTAAACACAAATATTTGAAACTATTTTTATTCAATTTTATTTAATTCCCCATTCCTTCTAAGGAAAACAATTTTTTATAATTTCCTATTTCTATGCTATAAATGTGTTATACTCTTATAAATTATACATACTGTGTGATTTTATGCTTAGGTATTGTAAGCAAGATAGATTAATGATTTAGCTCAATTTGTAACAATCAGAACATTAAAATAGATTCAATAAAAATTGGAGAAAAGTTTGGAAAACATAAAATATAAGAAGATATGATATCTTAATATAATTTATACAAAATAACTTTATAATGTGATTGAATATTGTACAAAATAACAGATTTATCAATACAAATAATTAGTAAAGTATTCCCTTAACTTTAAACTATCCTAAAATTAAACATAATATCACTAAATAACTAGAATAATAAAATATGTATAATTATTTAGTAGAATTAAAACTGATTTACTTCCAAATGTTTTTCTACTATCTACACAAAAATAACCAAAATAAACATAAAAATCTTAACATCTATAAACATAATAAATTACTAAAAAAATAAATAAATAACTAACCATAATTGCGATTTAACCAATTTGCTTTTTTTCACGTTTAAATGAGTCTTTGACTGTAATTAAATGAAGTAGACAATAATCAATACTTTACAACTTCTGTAGTAATAATTGTGTACTATGCAGTGTCTCTGAGGTGATTTTCAAGACACAGCCTGTAAAACAAAACGTATGAATGACATGAGACATGAGACAAACCGGTAAATTGCATGAGACTGAACAATGAGTACACTACACAATGAATGTCATCGCTATTATACCAATTACGAATATATTATAAAACAGCATTTGACACGATTTGTATGCACAATAACTTGATTTCATATTGTTGTTTTATTATATGTATTATGTACATAATATCTTTTTTAGTTAAAACAATATAATTAAAATAACACATAATATTATCTAATAAATAATATTTATTTTAAGGGCAAGATGAATAATAAAAAAATTGTGTTTTTGCACCAAATATATTTAATATTAGGTGTGCCTGATGACATGAAAAATCATAATTGTAAAATAGAAGCAAAATGACATTTTATAATCAATGTGACATGTTAAAAAACCACTGTATTCATTCAAGAAATGAAAAAAATTAAAATTATTTAAATACTGCAATATGTGTGTTTAATCCTCACATTAGGGTATATATGTACAATCATATATGGTATTGTAAAATGTTTAAATAATCGATTTGTAAAAAATGGATCACAAGCATGCAATAACTGATATTACAATGTATTATAATTTATACTGTGTATTGTTAAACTTAAGGAGATATCTCTTACATAGATGGTTTTATGTTAATGGGTACTCTCAAATGGCATTTTCATTGCCACTTTTACATGTGTATGAGATAAATAATAACTAAGTACCAAAATGTAATTACTAATTAGTATATACCACACATGGTGAATAAGTTAAGAATATAATTTAAAATTTCTTTTAAACAATACAGACAATACCTCAAAATTTTAAATTCCATGTAGATAATATAAAGGTGAGAACAGATATTTTGATTTTATAGATAAGGACATTTGTAGATTTCCTACATAGTTACTATGAAGAAATATGAACGCACTCAATCCAAATGGACGAATATTCAAATGCATCAAAAACCATAATGGATATTAACGGTCCGCATCTAGAGGTAAAAAGTACAAATTATAGATACTTACATTTACTTCAAACAAATATCAGACATGTGCAATTAATTATTCGATGAGCATTTGAATGCAATTATGCTATTGTACTAGATACTAGGTAGCAACAGCAAACAAAGGACATTCACAATAAAGTAACGAACAAATAATTTATTTGAAATAGAGTGATAAATAATTTAACAAAATCCATAAACAATAAACATACAATTTGTATCGAGCTATTTGAATTTTTAGCAGTTGCACCTTTTTTTCATCTCAATCCTTATCACACTCTGGAAAAACAACTGTAACTATACTACAGTGGCACCAACGAATAAATAATATCGGTTAATACATAATTGAGAATAGTAACTATTATCATTTTTTTTATTAGCATTAATTTTAAAATATAAATTAAGTATTAACTATATTATGGCAGAAAATTATTTAGAAAAAGGTGAGTATTGAGTAAAACATTAAATAATGGAGTTAAGGACGAATTCAGGGTAGGGGAACGTACCCCCCGGTCAATTTTATTTATGTAATTATGAGTATCATATAAATGAAAAATTCAGTTAATTAGAATAGTACTACCATTAAAATCATTATTTGTATTCAAACTGACAAAACAGGAGTTACAGCTTTAATGTTTTATCGATACTTATTTATAACTACATTCTTTTCCACAGAAAGTAGCCGTTTAGCGTATGTAGAATGAGCAGTGAAGGTTCGTTGAGCCAACATAACCCTTTCATATAACATTCGACGATATCACAAACGAGTTATAGTTATACGTCGTGCTCGAATGACATACTATTTTTGTGCAATGTTATACCTCATTCATCTTATTTTTGTGTTAGTGTAACACGATTCAGACATATATATGTATATAATACACATAAATAAACACAATTAATAGTAAAATTCAACAACAAAATAATAATAAACAGTCTTAAATTATAACGAATAAAATAATTTTTACATATTACTTTCGTTTAGCCTCGTGTTGTCAATAAAAAAAAAAGTAAATAAAATAATTTAGTTTTTTCTGTTTTTAATTTAATAATAAATCAACATTAATTATTAATGATTGGATCCAAGAAACTATTAAAAATTTTCTGCGAAATCAGCGTCTGAATCAGTTTTACCTGTAATGATCATAAGTCATAAACATGGACCAATTGCGCCTAAAACAAAATTTTTATTTGGGGTCAGTGTACCAGTTGCGCTTGTATTTAAATTTTTCTATCTTCAAATATGAAAATATTATTGTTCAATCTAATTTCATCAACATCAAAATAAACAATCTACATACAAAAATGCTTATAAATTAAAAACTTATTTATTGTTAAATTGATTACTGGATTAAGTGACTGATTATAATATATTTTATAACAGTATCGGAAATTTTGTAAAATATTATTATGCACATTTGATCGTACAACTATGAATTTGAGTGATAGACGAAAATAATTTTTCATTATCGTTGGATATTTTATCAGTCTAATTGTTTCATTGCATAATATATATATACTGTTCTATATAAGATAACACATTGATGATATAGCCGTTACTTATATCTTTTTGTTTAGTATTAGTTTGAGTTGCTTGATATTACAATATAGATTGTTTTAAGCTAGCTCTTAATGAAAAAGGTACTTCTTGATGATTTTAAGTTTTGAAAATGTACTAAATCAAAAAATGGAATTAAGTGGAGGCGTACAGTTAAATCGTGTCTTTAAAATTTATTAGGTATCTGATGAAAGTAAAACGGTGATTTTAAAATTTAACTATAATCGATGTGTATATTAATTTATTATATTATTATAACTAACTAATAAGTTTTCTTTAAGTATTTTAAAATGTTTTGAGCGCAATTGGTCTATCGATCCTAAAATGTATACAGCGCAATTGGTAAATTCCCTAAGTCATAACTCAGCAGTTGACCTCATATTTTGTATGACATCATAAACAACAAAATCAATATTCTAAAATTTCTTTTCTTCGTTTACAGTATGCTTCACAAATATTTTCCATATCTTGAGGGTGACTCGTTCAATACTGTCAATTAAAAGTTTATGAACATCGGCTAGCTTGAAAGTAGTATTGTTTATTTTGATATAATTTTTGATAGATGACCATGTGAGCTCAATAGGATTAAGTAGGTACGTAATGGTATAGTGATAAACAAAGTAGGTACTCCCATATCATAATTTTTTTTGTGTATTAATTTATGACGAACTTATTGAATCGTAGTTTGATCCGTTTCACAATTTCAATAGACGTGGAACAATCAAAGATTTTTTTGTATACCTACCTACCTTATCTTTTTCGTCCAATCATTTTTCAATGTCGTATTTTTCTAAAAAAATATAAATTCATATTTTTATTTATGATATTTCGTTATACCATATTTATATATTCATCAAAGTTTAAGCTATATGACGTTCCAGAAACGACGTTGGGTCAATTCAAGTTGAGTTTTAGAATGCATCTCAGGTTAATGAAAAAATATGATTTAATTATAAATTAGTAACAAGTATTATATTATTTATAATACATACCTACTTATATCTTACATGTTGCAATTGCTATCTGTTTATGAAATGTAAAACATAAATAAGAATAGTACAATAATATTATCATTATTTAATAACAAATATGTTTCAAGTTTATTATATTTTTATATCAAGTTATCAAACTCATTATTAATTTAGCTACCTACCCCTTGTTTTCAATATGTAGTAGTTACTACACCTAGTAATAGGTTTAGACGCCGCCACTTAACTCGTATCAAGTAAAATAAAAAACATAATATTTTTATTATTTATGTACTTAGATATTATATTGAAAACATTTTGTTTCCTATATCCTTTACTGAATAAAAATTGTTATTTATAATTAGTGCATAATATCATTCCTTAATTTTAAATACATAAAAGTTAATTTATAGTTAGATACCTATTACTTATATGTGTTAATCACAAGAAAATTTGAATATTAGTTTATATTTATTATTTACTAAAGAGTAATATAGTTTTTTATTAATTATAAAACTTTATCTGAATCATAAGATCAAAATTATTAGGGTGAAATAATAAATATACAAATTAAGGAATGAATTTATTTATACCTACTAATTATAAATAACATTTTTTTTCTTTAATGTAAATAATATATGTGATTTTGCATAAGTGTTCAAAGTTTGAACTTTAAACCGTTACATGGTGTATTTTTTTACTCAAGTTTTAATATTTGATGTTAATATCCAAAATTAAGGTCAAGTTAAGTACTAATATTTTACTACATCCCTCTACCAAAATTAAATAAATATGATATTGGTTGAATGGTAATCAGCATTCAGTATAGGACATAGAAAAACAGGTTTTCGAAATAATATCTGTAAATTGTTTAGTCACATCCACGAAGCTGTATTATAACAGATGTAGTAATGGTTATGTTATAAAGAACGTTTTCAATGACCACATGTGTAGCTAACTGGTGTGTCCTTGGTATATGTGCTAGTGTCTCGGGCTGGTGCTGCGTAGGAATGTGCAGCTGCTATGGCAGCGTGTAATGTTACAAAAAAAAAAAATAAAATAAAAACTGGTCGGTCTTTGAGCCGACGCCCGACAATACATATAATATATATTTACAACATTCCAAAACTAACATGGTATTCATATATAAATACTACAATACGCATATAACGAAATATAAATGCGTTTTTGATATCGTTATAAACTCGTAATTTTGATGAAACTCGATTACGGGCTGTAGTAATGCAGTGACATAACAAAAAATATTATTTTGTATCTTAATATTCACACGATTGCCGACAACATTTAGTGAAACGTTGCCAAGCTGTTCCAATTTGTCTATAAAACTTATATCAGTATTATTTATAAAATAGAGATAAGCATAACATGGAAAATGACAAAATAAATGTTTTTTATAATTATATAAGTATTTTTTTAAACAAAATTGTGTTAAATTATTCTAATTTTTGATTTTCCGTTAATATTTTTGTTATAATTCTGTACAGTTTTCATACAAATAACAAAAATAATTTAATATTATGAATTAGATTAGTAATTCATTTTTATAATTTTTTAACAAATTTTTATTAATTTATTTCTAATGAAATAAATGAAAATAAAAAAATAAAATATACGTTATTTTAAAAATTACAAAATTGAATATTTTATTTTACGTAAAATTTGAATTTTGCTAATAAAAGTATTTAACTTGAATGATTTTACAAATACTTTAAGTTTTTAAACCAGTACAACCACACAGTTTTTGGAAGTCCATTATTGTTATTCTGTTAACGTCTACAATCGTATTTTTTTTTAAAGTTGTTTCGATAAGAACCGTATACTGTGTATCCTTGGTAATAATTACAATATATACATAACAAAAACAACTTTTTACATTTTTTCCTTTATAGTTAAAAAAGCTTTTTATTGTAGGACAAATAAAAAGTGAAATATTTACTAAAAGGTCGTTTTCATTTCATCTAATCTCGATTAAACTTTGAAACGTTCATGTTTTCAAGGTCGACTTTTCACGCACTTTTTATGACGACATTGTGAGTGTGTACAAGGAAGTGAACTAAAATTTAGCTTGATGGAAATATGTCTAAACTGAAAATTTAATTCTACTTCATGTCTCCAACTAAATAAAGTGTAGTTTTGTTGTGTCTAATGTCTAACATCAGAATAATTTATTTTAATCTGTTGTTTATAATATTAGAGTAACATGACTTAGTTTCAAATTTTAATATAAGAATATTGTTAAAGGCTAACGTATATGCTTTTTTTAAATATTTTAATTTTAAAACAAGTGATGATTATTTTTAAGTTGTTAAATTTCTGTATACATATTAAAAGATAAATTATATAAACGGTATAAAATAATGAATATTAATAACTGTTAAAGGCGTACAAATCATTACCGGTATATAAATTAAAAATGTAAACATTATATATGTTACGGTAACAGTACAAGTATCGGTTAAACATAGGATTTACGAACAATACGAACTACGAATAAATTACTGATTTCACGAATTTTTGCTGTCAGTAAAATCTAGAATATATAAAACAGTTTGATTTTTATAACTCTGATTTCTATAAACAAGATTTGGTAAATCTTAGAATAAATAATTAGTGATAATTAGTTTAACTCCGAAATATGTGATATTTTCCCTTGCTTTATATTCTATATTATAATTAAAACATTATTGGTTGACTTAAAAAAAAAGTTAAAAATATAAATTTAAGTATAGGTACTTTATTTAAGCTACTGATAGTTTATTAGGTTTACAAATCTATATTATTATTGTATATTATAACTTACATATATAATATTATAATATAATGATTATTATTTACAACTTAACAAGTTAATACTGAAAAAATTAAAATTATTGTGTGCAGCAAATGAAATTTTACTGTAATTGATTTTAGAACATTATTTTTCCAGCTTTACATTTTAACATGAATCACAATCAAAAAAGCTTGTACAAATAATGAAAATTGTAACAATAAAAGTTTACTTAATATATTAGGTATGCAATAATAATTATAAATTTTGTAATAGTATAAATGTATGTACCTAATATAAGTATTAGTATAATACTTATGACTTATAATGAAATAGGTATCTAATATATATCGATTATTTTTAAAAGTAATGTAAATCTATAACTTTGACTCCCCCCACAAATACTAAATAAATCTAATTTTATATTAGAAACTATTCCAAAGTTAAAGATCAAAGTGTTTTTATTGCTTTTTACTTTTGAGGAAATGAGAAATACAAAAAAAAAAAAAATAAAAAAATAAATCATTGTAAAATCAATACAGTCAACGTTCCACTAAAAATTTAAAAACAAAACACAACTGGTAAACAATTTATTGTAAAATACAAGGTGAAAAATCTGCACTATATTTATGTAATTTTATATTGCTATACTTATAAAAGAATCACTAATAAACAATTACAGCAATCAATCGTTAACTACGAATAACAATGACTATACGTCATATAAAGTTGTACCTACGTCAAATTATAAAATTATACATAAAATGACAACAAAATTAATTATTTCTGAAAGCAACAATTCCTTGAATTTACTCGTATGCGAACACAAATAAAATTATTTTCATTCATTAATAGTATTATGTTCTATACATACTGCATACACTAAATATAAAATATTCAATTCTTTGTAGTCTTCAAATAGGTCAACACAGTTCATTTAGTTAAAATAAGTTAATAAGCATTGCTTGTAATCTTTATAAGTTATTTAATCAATATTCTACAGTCTCAAATAGCTCACAGACATTATAATTCCACACAGTTTCATTATAGCCATACTTTGTCTCAGTAAAAACTCTTATACAATTCTATACAGCTTTATATACACAGTAATATTTAGTCGTATTATTGCCATTCAATGTTTAATTTTAATTTGATTTTTACTACTTCAAAGGCTAATGAAAGTCTCAAAAACAAAAAATAAATCATACGTCATTGTAAAATAAATAGGTACATTTTTCAAGGATGGGTCGGATCAATAATCATACATCTATCTGAAAATAAACATAAGTAAACTTTCACTTTCTCACTTATAATCAGAAAGAGTAATAAGAAATATTAGTATAAAAAAAAAAAAAATACAACAGTGTACATTATGATTTTTATATTTTTTTTCAGAAAAATTGTAATGTAAATTAAAGTTAAAAATATTATACTTAAAAGTATAGTAAGATTATTTATATGCATTTTGATTATTTTGTTAGATTAATTCCTAATCATACTACATATTAATTAATTATAATAGAATTAAACAATTTAATATAATAAAATTTTTAACAATAGTATAACATAGTCAAAAAAATAAAGTGATAAGTTTGTTAAATTTATTTTAAATATTGTAAATATAACATTTTTATTTTAGTAAATTTTTAATAAGATAAATTTGATTATTTTTCTTGTTAATTATTTTATGAATTACTTTTAGGTATTTTTTAGTTTTTACTTTTTGTCATTATTGTATCTAATTGTATCAATTAGGTACGTTTATGTGTAACTGATAAAAAAATGTTAAAATAATCAACTATTAAGTAGAATTTAGAAAAACAATACCACACAATTTGTTAGTTATAAATTTATAATTAATTGTTGAATATGTAAATATTATAAGCAAAAATTCAATATTTCTCCCGGAATTTATGAGAAAAAAGTTCAAGTATATAAAGATGAAGGAACCTAAACAATGTTAGTGAATCTTTTTATTAAAAATTTACAAGTATTTTTGGTTCTACTCAACCAAACACTCATGTAATTTTTGAAGTAAGTATTCAAAAATATGAATATTGATACTAAAATTAATAAGTTTTTTTTTAGAAAAGTCAGCACACCTAGGAAGTTTCTAAGAGAAATTTTATTGTAATATTATTTATAGAAATTAAAACAATTAAAAAATATAAATATCAATATCCTAATACACACTTAATTAAATAACATTGAAATAACAAAATTTTAAATTATGTAAATAAAAAATTCTGAAGAAATAAAAAATTAGCATTGAAGAGGACATTTTACATTAGTTTTTTTATTTTTTAACAAAGGATTTTTATAAATATGAAATTAAAATAATATAATATTGTGATTTATCTGTATTTTTATTGTATGTACCTATTTTACCTATAATTCTGTACATATTCATGTTGCACATGAGAGTGACATGATTAATAATTCTAAATACTATGCAGTATTATTATATTATTCATATTTTAAAAAATATACTTTCAATTGTTAATTTTATTTGACAATGCTTGTTACAATATAACTTACGAAAACTGTAGATGAAAAGGTAACGAATTATAATTTTGCAATTTACTCTAAAAGTTTGCTTGACTAAGTACTCAAAATGTGTGCGCAATAAAATATACAATATACACTTTATTACACCAATACCTTTAATAATTCAAAATATTTTGCATACATTTGTATTTATATACACTACCTATAATTTATAAATAATATTTTATATTACCAATTTTTTAAATAAATTAGAAAAAATTGACTTAACGTCAAATTAAAAAAGTTATCTCACATAGGTAACTTATAAGTTACTGAGCATCATGAAAAACACTTAACTCATAAGGTTAGTAATTAATTATTTTTAAATAAAAAATACCTAACATAGTAACATGTTAGTAACATATAGTTCATAGTAACATTACAAAACGTTAATACAATAGCCATTATCCGTCCAAAAAGAAAAATAATGATTACTAATATTAACAAGTTAATAGTACCAGCATCTGATGATAATGAAATTAAATATTATGTAAATAACGAAGAATTTTTATATTACACGGATGTCCATTTATCGGTTGAACACGGGGTAATCACGAAATACAAAAATATCACTAGGTATTATTAGTTGAGTACCTATAAAGGGATTTTTGTTATTATTAGTTTAATATATGATACTACCTACGATGGGCATTTTATGTAACGTCTAATTTGTATACTTTGCCCACAAAATATAGGTATATAAATAGGTGTATAAGACACCTTATACAGTTACACAGGAAGTAGTAAGTACACTACGATTAATATTTAATTAAGTAAGCGAGAAGAGCTATGTGTACAAGAGCTGTCTAGATTCTAGAATAGTCATGTCAAATGAGGGGGTGGAACTGCAAGTGTATAAAGAGCATTAGTATTCATCATGAATTAGGGAGTGCCCTTCCCCGTAAATACTCTCCTAAACATTAAACGGCCCAGCTAAAGATGGTTACAGACTAAAGTTATCGTTTCTATGATCAAAAAATCTAGAAATACTGCTATACCAGCAATATGGGGTTATGGGTAAGGTTTAAGATAAGGAAAATTTTTTATAAATTCACTATGAGCATAGATTTTCTTATACTTAGTATACTCTTGAGCAGGGGTCTCCAAACTTTTTTATCTGCAAGGGCCACATAAAATAAAAAAAGCTCTTAGCGGGCCAAAATGTATGAACACATTTAATTTTCATATATAGGTAATTTATAAATTATAACCAATACAGCTGATAATTGCTCGTGCGTGCGATAATGATTATGGAAACTATACATATTTTTAGAATTTTTGCTGTTATTTGGCGGATCGTAGTTTGGAGACTCCTGCTCTTGAGTATAAGGTCTATGACTATGAGAGAAATTTTAATTTAAGTATGTAAATAAATGTTTATGTTGTGGAGGTTCGCCGTCATAAAATTCGCCCCGGATAGCGCCGGTGCTGTAAAGCGTCAGCCTCACCCTCCAGCTAAAGTTCCATGCCAAAGGACACCTGAAATATTCCACTGAAACATTTTGCCTCTACACTCTATACCCTTCTCTTGAAAGAAACTTGTGAGCAACGCTCCATCGCAACGCTTTAGAATAAACGTTCAAGTTTCGTCCGTGATTATCACGACGTTCCGTTACGTCACCACGTCGAAGACATTTTATCGTGATTTTTACCCATTTTGTCACATCAAGTAATTTGAAAAATTTGTCAATTTTCATCAAACATTATGTTGAATCTTTACCTCCATTCCTACTCAGTAACAAATTTGGGAGTACGCGCGGGAAAATAGGAGTACATCGTACGCATATCTTCACACAGTGATAATGTTAATGTTATCAACAGTGAGGATACCACAGCCATGGTTGTATGTAACCACTTTTTAACTATGATTGGTGATCACACGACGTCGTTTTTATAACATTGCATGTCTTCTCCTTCACTTCCATGACCATATTATAGTCCATATATATTTTCCTTGGGCACGCTTCCTGGAAGCAGCTTCCATTTTGTATTGTAGACATTATAGTTGCTAGTTAATAGTTATTACAGTTGCCGACTGCCGTCTTGCTCTGTTGACGTCTGAGTCTATCGCTCTGTACTCCACTACAGTCTACAATATTACTTTATAATATTGTTGTTCGATTTTTGCTTTCAACGCTTATACCGTATACGTCGTGTTACGTAAACTGTCGATCGGTTTCACATTTACGTTGAAATATTAATCGAATTTCAACGCCGACGTGTAATTTTAAAACAAATAAAATTCGAAGAATTACGTTGAACTCTCATCCGTTTACTTAATATAGCTGAAGTTAACCGAATTTCTCGTAACTAGAGAGACTATAGTTTTATCTACTCCTGTTATTTAAATTGAAAATCTTCCGACATCAAACGACAAAAAATGGCTAAAAATATGAATGTGTAAGTACACTTAAACTCATAGGATTTAACCTCATAAAGTTTTTTTCTCAACTGTCAATAGCATACCTGTATAATATACGTAACCATTATAATCGTTATTCAAATATAATGAATTATGATATTGATAAAGGTATAAACTAATAGTACATATCTATATTTATCCTAATGAATAATAATAAATAATAATAAATGTTGATACTTATCACAATATATTTAGTATTAAATGAAACATACTAACCATACTTTTTATTTTTTTAGAGCATCTAAAAAAGCGATGAAGACTAAAAAATTAGATTCAAGTTCTGAAGACTTTTGTGCTGGTGTAGACATTAAAGATTATTCTAAGTGTTCGGGTTGTACAAATTGGGATGAAAATTTGACAGGTTGTTCGATTTGTAAAAGGACCTATCACGATAATTGCCATGTTCCTTATCTTTCTTTTATAATGACGTAATAATTTATATTGTATTTGTTTTAATGTATTATCTTTTAAAATATTATGGCTAATGCATTATGTACATTTTAGGAACTCTTCAAAAACTTGGAAATGTACAATGTGTATTGACATAGAACATGTATCGAAAGTCATGAAAAAGGGAACAAGTGATCCCGATAAAAAAACTCTCAATGAATATGAACTAAAAATGGCAGCACGCATATTATTAGAGTTGCTTTGCGATGGGATAAATAGTTATCCATTTATGGAATGTCCATCTCCTATTATAGTGAGTTTTAATTACCTATAATCTATTTATTACAAAAACTTTTATGTGTTTTTGACCAGATGTTGAATATTTCTATCAGAATAACTGTATTATTTGTATATATTTTTTAGCACCCTGATTACTATCAAGTGATTTGTCTACCAGTGTCATTAAATTCTGTAAAAAGAAAATTGTTATCTAAAATACATTACTATACATCATTTGCTGATGTAATAAAAGATATTAAAAGAATTTATTCAAACTATGTACTCTATTACACGGTAAGCATCATGGATAAATAAAAATTATGATTTACAAAACCATTGTATGTAATTATTGTACTGAAAACTATATACTTAACATGGAAACATTAATGATTTCAATCGTTTTTTTTTAATATTTTAGGAAAATGATCCACTTTATTTCAAGGTTCAGGAGCAAGAAAAAAAGTTAAACGAAATGCTTTCTAAATGGGTGCCACAATATAAATAGATCCAGTTAACTCATTTGAATAAGTATGAAAATAAATGCATAGATTGGTGGTTTGGTTCTTTTTATTTTATCTGGGTACTTTTAAATTTTTTTTATGAAATATGCTTTTTTTAATATTTTATCACTATTAATATCTTATTAAATGTAAATGCAACTTGAATAAAATTTATATTTATTTTAAACTTTTATAATTAAAATTAATAGCCTATTTTTGTATTTTTTTAGGTATGTAAGTTATTTTTTATAAATAAAATATTAAGGTGTATTAATAAAGTTTAGTAATTATGTCTAATGTAATTTTAATTAGAATACATATTTATAATTTCAAAAATATTCATATAAATATTTTTTTTTCACATTCAATGTATAATATTATTAAATGTGAAGTATGAAATAAAACGTTTTTCTAATTTAAACTGCTCTTATTTTAATTATTTATATATTGTTTTTAAAGTTGTCCTGATTTGTCCACTATCATCTAGCTTATATCACATTATTATCTAAAAGTAACATAATTGTAATATTATAAAAATTTAAAAATAAGAAATAACTATTTCTGAATAAAATAATAAAATAAATTATTTGGTCGCTACAAACATTTTTAATTTGATATCTTAAAGAGATTATTTTTATAATGATTTTTTTATGTATTACATTTTTGAAAGTTGTTACATAGGTACAATTAGGTATAGAGATTTAATACGAGTGATGACTGGCGACATGAGGCAATTTAAGCCACAGGGTAATACTTTTTGATCCACTATTCAGATGATCAAAAATATACATTATGCTTTCTAGTTAACTTTTTTGTTATTCAAATATTTTCAGAGAAATATTCTACTAAGAAATTTGAAATTAATAACATTTGTTTTTATTAAAAATGCAAAAACTTTCAAAATATTATTAATAATGAGTGTATATTAATGATTTTTTTTTAAATGTGTGTGAAATAAAATACAATTTTGTTTTTAATTTTAAAAAGTTAATTGTTAAGCGTTATCAAATATTTTTTTCAAATTAGTTCTTTTTGTTATTTATGTCTATTTTTGAAAACATGTTAGTACTAAGTGTTATGAAATAATGAGTTATGTTTATTTAAATATTTACCGGTTATTACTTATCAGCTACCGTCAACCAAATAATTTAACTTGGTAATAATCATTATTATTACGCTCATGAGTAAAGTAAGGACTTTTTTATCCATTAAAATAATCTTCCAATATGCACTTATGCATCGAAAAATAAGATTTTTCTTTAAATATTTTAATTAATTACTTTATTTAATTTGCTATGTACCTATATGTATAAAAAAAAATCAAATAATACAGCCAATATAGATTTTAACCATAAAGATAACAATTAATCTCTATCGACTTAATGACAAATTCGTAATTTAATATAATTTATTTACTTATATGTAATTTAAATGGGATTAAGATATCATTACAATTCATCAAATATAAAATTTATATGAAAAAATGCATTTTGCATAAAAAAGCATATTTTATTGGTTGGACAATTTTTGACACGTAAGTGAATATTTGAAAATATTTTTATTTTTGAAGATTTCATTTTTGTAATATCCACATAATGAACATATTTCACGTACTTATATTGGCATTCTGATAATATTGATCAATTAATACAATATTCACTATACAAGTTATTTTTATATCCTGGGTTTTAATAAAAATTAATCATCAGGTATTTCTTATAGATAGCGATAGCACATTGTTTATTTTGTTAGCCGTCACGAATATTAATTATTTAATCGTTATCGCGGCGCTTGTAAATAATGTTGAAATTGAGTACGATATAATATTATTATTATTATTATTGTTAACATATTATTGTCTTTTCATTTGTATTACTATTGCTATTACATACAAACATGCCGAAATCTTTTTTTTTTATATTTTACATTTTTAAGGAAATAAAACATCATATATTTGGTATTTTTAAATCAGATGTTCACTGTAATATTCTTAAGTAGATGTCGAGTGTAACCATATAGGTCCTCGTCAATATGAGTAGGCCATACATATCTATAGATGTACAAAAGTACTATGGTTGGATATTGCATCTATCGCTTATGAATTTGAATTTAAGAAAAGTTTCAGATGTTGGTATTCTTAAACGTTTACCTCCATGGATTTTCTCGTATTGTAAACCAGTGGTTACTCAGATTATTACTTGGTACTAGATTAAATTAATCAGCTGTTTGAATTAAAAATTACATATCATATAATTTTAAAGATATATATATTTATATACCATATAATTTTGTTTCTATTTTATTAAATAAAACATAAGCAGTAGGCACATATTATTAATTATTATATTCATCCAAAAATTATTTACCAACATATTAACAATATAATTTAGTCCAGTAAAATTATTATGAATTAACTTACTGTACTTTTAAACAAATACAATATATTTGTACAATTATTATGCATGTTATAGGTTTGATAAAGAATTGTTTTCCGACAAAAAGTTTAATGAGGTAGGTAACAATACACGTTAAAAAAAATTATTTATTATATATAAGTGTCACAAAATTAATTTTTTATTTGTTGGTTTGTTAATTAAAATGATTTATTATGAATAAGAATTATTTAAGCCTTTCTCATAAAATTATGAAAATATATTAAAATCCGAAAATTTAACATTAAAAATTGTTAAATGTGTACAAATTACCACAAAATATATAGTTTAATTATAAATATGATGTATATGATATGAAGATACATTGTGTTATTCATAATAAAAAATGCTGATTATACTTACCATTGCTCAAAAACCGGAGTCCGTGTAAAGATTTACAATAATAGTAATAATAATATGTAAAGTATTAAATGTGAAAAGATATAGTAAAATCTTTAAATATTAGTATAAACATTGAAATATTATCAGTAAATAGTATTAATAATATTATTTATTTTTTTCAAGATTTCTGAAGTTATAAACACTTATGTTAAATTATTAAAGATAAACTATGCAAGTTATAAAACACTATTTGTAGTTTTTTAAAAATGAAAAAAATTTCTTTTGTTTTTTAAAACTGATGAATTATGCAAAATATAGATTTTTTATTTTAAACTCGTCATTGCATAGAACGGACTTCTAAAATGGTCTGCTATAAATTGAGTGCATGTAGAAAAATATGTTTCTAAAACTTCAGAATTCTATATACCTAGTTTAAAATTTATTATAATAATATTTTTTATTTAACAGTAACCTAATTTTAATTGTTTATTAATTTTTGTGAATTTTGTATTTTTATGTTATAACTTATAATCCACACAGAAATGTATTATATCAGTGTTAATATTGTCTAATGTCTATGTTTTAAGATTTATCTTAATATTATAATCGTTTCACGAAACTAGTTTAATTAATAACATTATATTTTTTGTGATTATCAAATAATATCTTAAGCAATAAATTGGCCTTGATTATATTGATTATTGATTACATATAAATTCATTGGTTGAGTATTATCGGTAGTCAAAAAAACGCTAGTCTGATCTAAGTGCAGTTCATTGTGAAAAATTTCAATTTTAAATATTGTTCACGATTCATGATTAAGCGACGAACACGTGAATGTAGTTTTAAAAATATTAATATCAAATATGAAAGCGGGTATATAAACGAATTAGTGGAAAAAATTCTACCTAAAAAATCATACTAGAAAGTATAAACTAAATATTTATATCCTTTATAGCACTTAAGAATTAATCAATAAATTTTTAGATCTTCTAAATTTTTTTATTAAATTTTTAAAATTTCTCTACTCATTTTATTCAAAATAAGTTAACAAGAACATCTTTAAAATGTGAAACTCAAAATATAATTGTTATTATCCATAAATTATAAATATATTAATATAATATATTAAGATTGTGTTTTTAATAATGTTTATTTTAATTTTGTATGCGGCTCTCAATGAAAAAGTTGATAAAAAATATGGCCCACGTAAATTAAAAGGTTGCTGATCCCTGCCATAAATAATTGTATTAAAGTACAATATTGAATCATAGTGCAAATATGTTCTATTCTAATATTATTGTTAAATTTAAGAAATTAGAGATAAACTGTAACTACCTATATCTAAAGTACTCGTATTTTGAAATAATTTCGAAGATCCATTTGACATAATATTTTGATAATTAAGTTTTTATAGCAATTTATTATAAAACGTATAGTTTTATGAAATGTTCATAGTAAAATCAAATAGCATTTATAGTGTAGAAACTAGAAAGTGTTAACAAAGATATATCACTAAGTTATAAATATGTAAAAAACTTGGGTACAAAAAAACACTACAAACCAATAAAGTAATACAATAAAATTCGAGTCAAAAACTAAGATCCGTGTGATTCATGTGAATTGGACTACATATAATTCTTAGTCTATGTAGAACTTTGTTTCAATTATTATGTAAATACATTATAATAAATTCAATAAATTATATTGAATAAAAATCCCATTATAGATATTTAATTAGTTTTATATTTATTTGAAAATATTGTTGGTAATTATTCATAAGTCATAATATTATAGTTTTTGTTACAAAATTACTTATATATTATGTATTATTAAAATTTAAAACATAACCGGAATGTTAATATTTTACATACCTACCGAGTATGCCGTCTGACATTATTATCTATATCTATGATTTTACAAATCTTATACTCGAGTCAAAATAAAATTATGGTAAGGTGTTTACATTTAATAAATTACAAAAATATAAATATATGGTATATATGTATATTGTATGTACTATGTACGTATTTTATGAATGTACTTATTAAGAATCATACTTTATGTTATTAAATGTTGCAACGTTATTATATTTTGTGTAATAATAGATACTTGAATAAATATTTTTAATTTAAATTTAAATTTTTAAAATAAGTTTATTAATTAAGATGTTCACAAACCTAAATTAGTGATTAATGAAATTAAAATTTTATTAAGACTCTAAGTGATTCATAGACTATTATTCAGTGTTTGGGAATGAGTAATGGAGTGTATCTTATCCTCGATGAGCCGCAACTACAGTCATTGGCTTAGATAATTTATGAA